AATGATAAAGATGACCTGTATCCATAAACTGCTTTGGTGAATGTCAACTCCTATATACAACTATTCAAAGATAATTAAAATATTCCCCCCAAATGGAGGATTTTTCCCCATTCTGGGAATTGTACCCTCACACATCATGCCAGGTGATAAACTACATCACCAGGAAATTGGGGGAAAATATCCTATGAAATAGTCTTTAAAATTAGAAACTTATGGGCTGAGAAGGTGGCTCAGTGGTAGAGCGCTTGCCTTGCATGCATGAAGCCTTGGGTTCAATTCCTCAGCACCACATAAGCAGAAAAATCCAGAAGTGGTGCTGTGGCTCAAGTGGTAGAGCACTAGCCTTGAGCTGAAGAGCTGAGGGACAGCACCCAGATTTCAAGCCCCATGACTGACAAATGCATATATATATATATATATATATATATGAAATTTATCATAAAACAAATGTAGATTGGAAATTTAAATCATGAATAACAATATATATGTTTTACAACAAACTAAACAACTAAGCTGCATTATCTAAACGTATGATGGTCTCCTAAAATAAAGAAAAATGGATCAATGAAACAGAGCAAACCCAAATGATGAGTAATGTGTAGCTGAGAACTTAATAAAATTAAGTGCTTCAAGTTACTGCAGAGAAATAGATGGCACTCAAGAAGATTATTAACTGCTCACTTGGAAATACTAGATTTCCAGCTCTCACAGAGCCAAATTTAGGTGCCTATGAAAAACTAGGCGCTATTTTTGTTTTGTTTTCTTTTTTAGGTCTGAAACCAGGACTTGAACTCAACACTTGATGCTTTTGCTCACTACCTACCTAGCACTCTAGCAACTGAGAAGCTATTTTATAGTTTATAATGGAAATGTTTTTCGTAAAATAATGCCAAGACTAGAAGTCATAGGGAAAATAATGTTTTGTCATACACAATGTGCTTTAAATATTCTAGGATATTAGAAAACATAATGCAACAAACTGTGAAAATACCCTAATTCTAATTAATTTCAGATTCCTTTTATTTAAAAGTGTTCACAAACAATAATAAATATCTAATATAATTTATGCTTTTATAGTTCACATAGAATATAACTATAAAAACACACTCTGTATGTATTTTAGTTGTGTCAGTCAGACTTGTCTATAGCTGAGATGGACACCTGAGAGAAACAATTTGAAAGGAGGAAGGATTTACTGTGGCCCACAGTTCAGGTTTCAGCCCATGCTTTAGGGCTGTGACAAGGAGAAACATCATGGAAGATGGTCCTGGAGGAGGAAAGCTGCTCACATCTCTGCAGCCAGAAAACAGAGACCGCAGTGACATAACAAAGCGGACAAGATCCATCCTGCAAAGTCACACCCTTGGGACCTACTTCCTCCCTCTAGGCCTCCCCTCCTAACAATGCCACTACCTCCCAACATGCTGTTAAGGTATGAAACCATATATAATGGGTTGATGGATTAATCTGATCCAATCATTTCCTAAGAGCTCTGCCTCTGAACTCTATTTGAATCAGAGGGACAAGCCTTCAATGCCAGAGTCTTTTGGGAGGATACTTCATATCTGAATCATAGCACCTGGTATATATAAACATTAAAAAAAAATACAGATACAGTGGTTCACACTGTAATCCCAGCACTCAGAAGACCGAGACAGGAAGATAACAGTTCAAAGCCAAACCTAAGCAGAAAAGTCTTTAAAACTTCATCACCAAAGTAATCAGCAGAAAATGCAAGGATATGCCTTTTGTTATTCTGTAAAAATCATGAGCAAAAGCCTAGAAGCCACTTAATTTCCCATCAAAAGAAAGACTTATAAATAAACCTAAGCCTATCACACAATAAGGTACTATCATCATTTTCTTCTTTGAAAGATTCCCATGGTCTTTATAGTAAATTATGAAAGAAGAGTTCAGAGTGGCCCACATCAGAAAGTTTAATTTGTGTGAATAAAAATGTGTATGCATAGCACTTACAAGGATAGACACAAAAAGGGGGTTGGGAAAGCCAATGTACAATAGTATTCATATCCTAGAGGGGGTTTTGTTGCTATATCCCTGGTTTCAGCTGGGCTTTTCTGACTCCTTATGACATAATAAGTCTATATTTTAGCCATCATCTCATTTAAGAAATTGTGATTACTGTACTGCAAAAAAAAAAAAACAGAGAAACATTATTTGCTGATGAAACTTGTGAAAAAACTTAAGAGAATAAACTTTAGCCAGGTGCTGATGGTGTCTCATGCCTATAATCCTACCTATTGAGGTTCTACAGATCATGGTTCAAAACCAGCCTGGGGGCTGGGAAGGTGGCTCAGTGGTAGAGTGCTTGCCTTGCATGCATGAGGCCCTGGGTTCGATTCCTCAGCACCACATACACAGAAAAAGCTGGAAGTGGGTGCTTTGGCTCAAGTGGTAGAGTGCTAGCCTTGAGCTGAAGAGCTCAGAACAGTGCCAAGGCCCAGAGTTCAAGCTCCTGGACCAGCAAAAAAATAAAATAAAAGCCAGCCTGGGCAGGAAAGTCTGTGAGACTATCATCTCCAATTAACCACTAGAAAACCAGAGGTGGTGGTGTGGCTCAAAGTGGTAGAATGCTAGCCTTGAGCAAAAGAGCTCAGCCACTGCACCTAGGCTCTGAGTTCAAGTCCCACGACCAACAAAAATAACAACAATAATAATAAATAAAGTTTTCAAAAGATCACTAGAAGTTATTTTTCAGGACCACAGGCAAGTCCTGACTAGCAAACACAAGGCCCTGAAATCAAACCCCAATGCCACCACCCAGGACAAAGAAAGAAGAAGGAAAGGAAGGAAGGAAGGAAGGAAGGAAGGAAGGAAGGAAGTTGGTTTTGATAAACGGGGTGGTTCTATAATAATTATAAATCACATATTATTCTTTTATGGAAGGAGGAGGTTGATACGAGATCTCACCAGGTAGGCCAGACTAGCCTCAAACTTGCAATTAGTTCTCCTGCCTCTAAATCCCAGAGTGCTGGGATTATAAGCATGCACCATCATATTCCACTGATGTATCATTATTGATCTTTTCTCCTAAAGTCTCATTGCCTATCAACCCCTAAATTTGAGATTATATCTGTCTTCATGTGACCTATTTTTGTTTTGAGCCACCCAGACTCTCCAGATTTAAGCAGCAGCTAGGCTCCAGTAGCAGCAAGGATCCTCAGGATATCACTGGAATCAGCCATCATGAACAGATGGACTGGAGATCAACAATGGAACAGCTAAGCACCTGCTTGGCCAGCAGGTGGCAGCAGGCAGGTGATCAAGTGCATTGAGTCTGACATGATGAAGCAGCAGCTGTCTCTGAACATGAGTTCAACTCTAGATCCTGCAGGAAGCCTTTCTTCTTGAATGCCTGTGACATACCAGTTGGTCATGTATTAAATTACAAAGAGAGTCTCAATAATTCCGAAAGATGGAAGTCAGGGCTTACTAAGCAGCACATAGTGGAAAATGGGAAGGATGAAGTTTGGCATCTGCTCAGGAATGACATGTGATGAAACTTGATGGTTGTTTTTGTTTTTCTGTTCTTGGAAGTACTGAGGTTGAACTCACGGCCTCATGCTTGCCCAAGGGCACCCTGCCCTTAAGCAATGCCTCCATCCTTCTCTGCTTTCCTTATTTTTCAGATAGCATCTCACTTTTTTGGGCGCGGGGAGGGTCAGTTGTGGGGCTTGATCTGGGCCTGGGCGCTGTCCCTCAGCTCTTCAGCTCAAGGTGAGTACTGTACCATTTGAGACACAGGGCCACTTCCGGTTTTCTGGTGGTTAGTTGGAGATAAGAGTCTCACCAATTATCCTGCCGGGCTGGCTTTAAACCATAATCCTCAGATCTCAGGCTCCTGAGTAGCTAGGATGACAGGTGTGAGCCACCGGTGCCCGGCATAGCTCACATTTTTTGGCCAGCCTTGCCTCAGACTGCAGTCTTCCTGCTTATACCTCCTGCATAGGGGATTATGAAGATATACCATCATATCAGATTTGGTTGTTGAGATGAAATCGTGCTAACTTTTTGCCTGAGCTGGCTGCTTTCCACCTCCCAAATAACTGAGATTGCTAGCATGCGCCACCATGCTTGACCCATATTTTGGTAATCAGTTGTAGGAGGAAACTTCACTTGGCGGTTCTAAAGTTGACATTGTTGCACCATGTCCCAAAGGGAGGTGATAGACCTGGAAACGGGGGAGGGGAGGGGGGAGGGAGAGAGAGTGAGAGAGAGGGAAAGGGAGAGGAAGAGAGGGAGAGAGAGGGGAAGGAAGGAAGGAAGGGAGGGAGGGAGGGAGGGAGGGAGGGAGGGAGGGAGATGTCAAATAAAGAGAAAAACCATAAAACCAGAATGAAGGAAAAGATATGAAGCCACAGATAAAAAATAATTTGTTGGGTTCAATGTGATACTATAATCATATCATTACAAATAACTTTTTTTAATGTTAGTGAAGCAAATTGTCTTCCACTAGGGGTTAGAGCAGCACTTCCCAGACTTTTCTGCATCATAGTATACTTGAAAAATGTTTGTATGGCACAATTGTGTAAAAGGAAACTTTCACTTATACCAAGATTCAACAAGCATGGAAAACTCAAGCCATAACAATATACATTGTTGGAAGTTGTGTTCTAGAAAACCCAGTCAATGTAGTTATCCATATAATTCAATATCTCTTTAATTCAATAAGGAATTTCCCTTTATTGGCCAATCTTCTTTATTCTGTTTCTGCTGAGCAGAAGGGTATAATCTAATTTCCTATGAGACTAATGCAGTTAGTGAGGATACTAGAAACAAATAAGTTGAGAAACATTGGTGGATTGTACCAGCAACAAAAAGTAGATAAAAAGTTATTTACACCCTCCACGTGGATTGCCTTCCTTCTCAAATGATGAAGATATCATCAAAAATTATATCCGCAGAAAAAATGAGGATTGTCAATCTAAAAGCAAAAGAACCACCAAAGAAAGAGAAACCAAACCTCAAAAACTGAAGAGAGGTTGTTTGAAGGGCATCGGCCATTGAATTTGTGACTTTGGCAAAGATTGACATCATGGCAGGCGCAGAAAATGAAGGCCAATTCCAGTTCACTGGTAGTAAGAAGTATTTCAATTCATACACTCTCACAGGTAGAATGAATTGTGTACTGGCCACATGTGGAGGCATTGCTTTGCTGGTCTTATGCTTTAAGTTAAGGTCTAAAAAGACTCCAGCTGTGAAAGCAACAGGAATGGAATCTAAATTTTCTGAGCTCATCTGTTAAATTCCTAAGCCTGGAGAAGCTAATGTCAACTGATCATATAATATTCAATTTGTACAATAAATTATGAACCTGGGGGAAAAAAGATATAATACCTAATAAAAACATATCATACTGCAACAAGAAATCATAAAATTACTTCAGTTAACATAATCATACAATGCGGAGGAGATGAGGTATCCACTAAGGAAAAACTATTGTATGTTATAAAAATAGAAAAGCATTTGATGTATTCATTACCTTACTCGTGTAACTGTAACCCCTGTACAGTATTTTTACAATAAAAAAATATAAAAATGAAAAAATAGAAAAGCGTTTGATAATTAATGTCTTAGATAAGAGAATGGGCTGGATAAGAGAAAGGTCATGGTTGAAAAAAGAGCAGATGGATTGGAAAATGAGTTTTTCTCTCCTAAAAGTAGAGCGAGAAGAAAATGCTTGAAAACATGAGAGAAAAGCTGATGTGTAGAAGGTATGTGTTATGTGACAGCTCCTATAGAAGAGGAATTTCAAATTAACAAAATAAAAGAGCCAATGGAGGAGAAGAAACAGCCAAACATAACCTTAAGGAAATTGTACACAACTGTAGGGCACTGTGTTAGGAGAAATAACCTAGGCACAAAAAGACAGATACCACATGTGCTTACTTCTTTGCACAAACTGAGAAGTCATCTAAGGACAGAGTGAACAATCGTTAGAGATTGGGAAAAGGTTGCAGAGGGACAGGAAGAAGTTAGATAAGGGGTACTAACCATAGGTAGGAAAGATTACTTTTGGTTTTTATAGCAAGATTGTGTAAATGTTGTTCACAACCCTCTGGTATATTTCAAAATTGCTGGAAAAAAAAGTAAACATTTCCAACACATAGAAATGGTGAATGTTGGGGCTGGGAAGGTGGCTCAGTGGTAGAGCGCTTGCCTTGCATGCCTGAGGCCCTGGGTTCAATTCCACAGCACCACATAAGCAAAAAGAAAAAAGCCGGAAATGGCGCTGTAGCTCAAGTGGTAGAGCAGTAGCCTTGAGCTAAAGAGCTGAGGGACAGCGTGCAGGCCCAGAGTTCAGGCCCCACGACCAGACCCAAAAAAAAAAAGAAAAAAGAAAAAGAAATGGTGAATGTTTGAAGAGATTCAAGTGCTTATTACCCTGATCATTACATGTTGCATAAATGTGTCAAAGTTTCCAACTGTAGACCATTAAAATGTATAAATTTCACACTTCAATTTAAAAAAATGCCACAAAAATTGTCTTGTGCAATTAGTATACATTTTAAATTTAAATATGTTTTAAATTATAAATTTTAAGGAAAAAATTTCACACAACTGAAAAAAAAAAGCAAAAGACTTCAGGTTTAAAAGTCTCCAGAAAAAAATTAATTTCACAACTTTTTATGTCTATATGTTTCAATAAAACTTTATTTACAAAATTTTATGTACAAAATGTGGAGGGCCACATTTTTCCCACAGGTTGTTAATTGGTTTATCCCTTCTCTTGACCAAACAGAAAAAAACTATGGATATCACATGTCTTTTAAGATTTTTGATTGGATAAAAGAGTAGTATCCTTAAGACCTAAACTGATTTTGAAACTAAACTATGTACAGTCAAAGTAGCATTATGTGGAGCTATAAAACAATGCATTTTCAAATGTATAAAATCTCAGAAAATTTACTGTTCTTAGATTCTCTCTGAAAAAAAAACTTCACCAGGATATAGTCTAGCAAAACATGAAAAGGAATTCAGGCTAAAGGAAGATCTAATTAATATGTAAGCGTAAATGGTGCTAAAGTTAAAAAAAAAGCAAATAAATTGCATGATTATACCCTAGGAGTAATTGATACATGTTGCAAAAAATATGAATCTAGAAGGAAATTCCAAGCAACCTCAGCATGATAGATAAGAATGAAGAGAGATGAACTAGATTTGGAAAGAAGGAAATAAAGGTATACTATAGTTGTAATCTTGTTGGAAAGGAAACCATGGGGAAAAAAACAAACTATTATTTACAATCACATAAAATTGAAAATTTTAGGAATTAATTTATTCAAAAATTTAACCTAGGAATTGATACTGAAATGTTAATTGCCCACAATCATTTTGGAATATATTTTAGCATTATTTAGAAAAATTAAAATGTACATCTTCTATTGTTCCCACCAATGGTCTTACTTGTTATGTTTCCAACCTAATGTACTTTTTCTTAATACTTTTTTTAAAATTTTATTGAAAAGATGATGAGCATGGGGGTTATAGTTACATAAGTAAAACAATAAGCACATGTATTTTTAATCTTTGTTACCCCATCCTCCTTATTTATCTCCCACTTATCCCTCCCTATTCCTCCCCTCCCCTAGTTGTAATGTCCATATCCAACATAGTGTCAAGTGAGTATCAGTGTTGTGTGGTTCATCTGTTCTGCAATTTCTGTGATTCCCTTTCCCTTCCACATATTGCAGTGTCTATTATGCAAAACACAAGGTACAAAAACCTAAGAGAAGCAAAGAAAGAAAAAAACAATAGAGAAAAAAGAACAAACTATATACATGGTCTAATGAGAACCTCTTGTTTCCATAAGTTGGTATTTATGTTAATAAATACCAATATAGTCCTATACACTAAGCACTTGGGATATTGAGAGCCCCTGTTAAAAATGTCATACACATTCTTTCTTGCCGGGTGCTGGTGGCTCACGCCTGTAATTCTAGCTACTCAGGAGGCTGAGATCTGAGGATCACTGTTCAAAGCCAGCCCAGGCAAGGAAAGCCCATGAGACTCTTATCTCCAATTAACCACCAGAAAACCAGAAGTGGCCCTGCGGCTCAAGTGGTAGAGCACTAGCCTTGAGCTGAAGAGTTGAGGGACATCGCCCAGGCCCAGAGTTCAAACCCCATGACTAACCCAAAAAAATATACATATATATATATATATATACATTCTTTCTTATTGCAATTTTAATATATTCTTTTCTTGATTCTTGGGGGGGGGGGGAGCGTTGTGTGTAAAAGTATTGGACCTTGACCCACAGCCTCACAGATTTTTTTGCTCATCTGATGCTCTACCACTTGAGCTACACTTCTACCTTCTTGCTAGTTAATTGTCAATATAGTGTCTTGGATTTGCCTGTCTGGATTCAATTTCAACTCTGATCATCAGATGTCAGCCTACTTAGTAGCTAGGATTACAGGCATCAGCACTGGTTCTCAGCTTCTCATTCACAGTTTTTTGGTTTTGGTTTGGTTTGGTTTGGTTTGGTTGGTCATGGGGCCTGAACTCTGGGCCTGGGCACTGTCCCTCAGCTCTTCAGCTCAAGGCTAGCACCACTTCCAGCTTTATGTGCTTATGTGGTGCTGAAGAATCAAACCCAGGGCTTCATGCATGCAAGGCAAGCACTCTACCACTGAGCCACCTTCCCAGCCTCCACTTGCAGGTTTTTTTTTTTTTTTAAACAGAAACATGATGCACAGGGTACAAAGAACATCTTTCCTGGACATCAAGTGCCCAGCTATTTTTTCCTTAATTTTTGAGTTAAACATTATGGACAGTTTACCTTATAGAAGCCTTATTCATTTCATAAAACATTGCTTCAGGAGCCACTTTCAGCCTCTGTTTCACTCCCCCTTCTAAGTCCCCTTCCCCAGCCCTAAGTAACAGTCATACTGGTTGAATCCTAATACTCTCTCAGTTCATCTGCTGTATAACCTCTGTCAGCTTCCAGAGCAGCCGGCCATATCTCTCTCCTGGACAGCCTTAGAAATTAGCTGGCTATGAGGACCAATGAAATAGCATTGAAGATCCAGAGATAAACCTACAGACCACCTATGGCCACCTAATCTTTGATAAGGGAGCCAAAAACACAAGGTAGAAGAAAGACAGCCTCTTCAACAAATGGTGCTGGTAGAACTGGCTATACATGTTTAAAAAACTGAAGTTAGATCCTTATATATCACCCTGCACCAGAATCAATTCCAAAAGGATCAAAGACCTCAATGTAAGACCAGATAAGATACCCTGAAAATATTGCAGGAAGAAACAGGAGAAACACTAGAACTCCTTGGCACAGGCCAAAACCTTTTTAATAAAGACCCAACAACACAACAAATCAAAGAAAGGCTGGATAATTGGAGTTGCATTAAACTGCAGCTTCTGCATGGCAAACAACATAGCTATCAGGATAAATAGAAAGCTCATAGATTGGAAGAAGATATTTACTAGCTAAACATCAGATAAGGGCCTCATAGTTAAAATATACTTAGAGCTCAAAAATTTAACCCCCTCCAAAAAAAATCCTCAAACAACAACCCCATTAATAAGTGGGTTAAAGACTTAAAGACAGACTTCTCTGAAGAAGAAAGAAGAATGGCCAATAGACACATAAAGAAATGTTCAAGATTCTGGCCATAAAGAAATGCAAATCAAAACAATATTGAGATTCCACCTGGATGTTGGAGGGGATGTGGCCAGAAGGGAACCCTACTGCATTGTTGGTGGGAGTGTAAACTTGTTCAACCACTCTGGAAAGCAATATGGAGATTCCTCAAAAGACTCCACATAGAGCTCCCCTATGACCCAGCAATCCCACTTTTGGGCATTTACCCAAATGATCACAAACAAGACCATACTAAAGCTACCAGCAAAACTATGTCCATTGCAACATTATTTACCATAGCTAAGATATGAATCAACCCAGACACCCTTTAGTAGATGAATGGATGGAGAAAATGGGGGATGTGTATATAATGGAATTCTATGCTTCCATCAGACAGAACATTATTTCCCCATTCATAAGGAAATGGGAAGATTTGGGGAAAAAATTCTATTAAGGGACTGGGAAGGTGGCTCAGTAGTAAAGTGCTTGCCTTGCATGCATGAGGCCCTGGGTTTGATTCCTTAGCACCACATAAGCAAAAAGAAAAAAGCCGGAAGTGGTGCTGTGGCTCAAGTGGTAGAGTGCTAGTCTTGAGCTAAAGAGCTAAGGGACAGCGCGCAGGCCCAGAGTTCAGTCTCCATGACCGGACTACCCCCCAAAAAAATTCTATTAAGCTAAGTAAGCCAGACCCAAATAAACATAGGCTCTGTGGTT